CTCCCAGAGCTGGAGGCACGTGGTGCAACGCCGCCACTGCGCGCACAGCTCTGTGCTGCTCCACGGAGGGATCCAGGTCAGCAGATGGGGAGAGGCTGCCTGGGGTCACACGGCTGTTGTGGGGTTGCCCAACACTGCAGGGGAGCCCGGTGTGCAGGAGGGGTGAGGAGGAGGAGATCTGACCTGGAGTCAGCCCGGAGCGCAGCCACGGTGGTGCCTGGCCCAGGGGGACAGGGAGGTGCTGTGGGATGGGAATGGGTGGAAGGGGAGAGCGAATGGAAACCAGAGGCAGAAAACCACTCTAACCTCTGAATTGCAAACCAGTGTTTACTGCAGTGGCAGGAGCCCATTATAGCTTTGTTTTCCATAAGAGGAACAGGAACCCATAGCAAACAAAGCTGGCAGGGCTCAGTCTGCCCATTGCCCCTGGGCACTGCAGATGGACCTGTGCAGCTCCGGACACATCTGTGCAGGCTCCCAACCAGGGAGGTGCTGCCCTGTCCTTGGAGCTGCCCCTGGAGACAGATGCAGAGTGCTGACCTCGGGTTAGCTTGGTCTGCTTCTTGGGTTGGTTTTGTTTTTCACAAGGACTTGTCAGTTCTTTTTACTAACCCCCTATAGCTGAGGTCATTCCTGAAGAAGCAAAGCTTTGGAGCAGACATCCTCAAGCAGGTTTGGGCTCAGATCACCTCCTGGCAGCAGCTCTGGAGCTGTTTTAGGCAGAAACAAATGAGGAGAGAGAGGCAGCACCAAGAGCTTCACTGACAGCACAGGATGCTCCGCGCAGTGCAGACAGCCCAGCATCCCTCAGCAGCCCTAATGGCTTTTCCATGCAAGCACTCCCTGTGCCCATGCAGTTGTCACAGGAATGCTACGTGGCTGTTCCAGGACAGGTTGGTTTTAGCAGTTGCAATTGAGGCTCCAAATAGACATTTAAACACATCATGACAACACCTGGGAATGCCCAGCAGTGTGTGCAGGGCTGGGGAGGAGCTGCTGCCTGCAGCCCCATGGCATTAAGAAGTTTGGGAGCAGCAATCTCCTCCTCTCAGTCACTTGGCCCTTCAGCTTTGATTTCCTCATGTCTGGAGAGCTCTGTCTAAGATCACAGTGCTTTGCAAAGCGAAGTTTTTCAGCAATAAAACTTGATCCCTTCGAAAAGAAGGGAAAAAAAAAAAAATCAGAGCAGCAGACCCAGGTTTCTGAGTTGTGGCCTCTCCTAAATTAAACTACAATCCAGCTCAGTGCTTTACACAGTGAGCTCTATCCCCCAGAGCCAGCGGTAATGAAGTGCAGCTGGGGCTGAGCCGAGGGGCCAGGAGGAGTGGGGAACTGAGGCAGGGGGGTGGGGGAGCACAGAGGAGCTGCCTGTGCTGGGGCCATGGAGGTGCTGCTGTCAGCCCCCCAGCTGTGTGTATTTGTTTCGTGCTGTAAGCAATGCAATGTGTTGCAGGCAGCAGCCAAGGCTGCTACTCCAGCTCGGAGGGACTTCTAATGTTATGCTTCAGTAACAGCAGTTTTTATTAAGCAAAGCTTGTTGATTTATAGTTTGTGAAAACATGCTTTGCGTGAGGCTTTGGGGAGTTGGGGGTGAGATGGAGGTGGTTTGGCTGCACTGTGTTATCAATCACAGCAGTGGGATTTGTGAGCCTTGCATTCACAGCAGTGCAGCCCGGGAGGAAGGCAGCAGCATCCATCACCAGGCTGGAGCTGGCGGGGAGCTGAGCCACAGCGCTGGGTCAGCACAGCAGCTTTCCCAGGGAGGCAGTGACCTCAAAGAAGCAGAGTTCAAAACAGACCTTGTAATTCTTCTGCACCCTTTGGAAAACCAAACTTTCTGGTTGTGCCCAGCCCGCGAGTCCAACTGCAAGCTGCACCAAACCCAAGCCTGCTCCTCCCACAGCTCTTGCAGTGCAGCCCCAGCTCTCTTCCAGCTGCACACCATGCACAGGGCTGACCCTCCTGCAGCAGCCGTGCAGCAGAGTAGCAAACCTGCAGTGGGGTGGGAGCAGACAGCCTCAGTGCTGCAGCGGCGTGGCAGCTCCCTGCTGCATTGTGCTTATTGCAGGAAGAACTGAGAGCCACAGGCAGCAGGGCTCAGCAGGAGGATGGCTGCCAACACCACTGGAGGAGTTCTTGGGGCTTTCTGTGTGGGTTGGGGGGGAAGTGGGGCTGTGGCTGTGCCCTGGGATCCTGCAAAGTGGTGGTTGATCGTGGGTGTGATCAGATCCCTGAAACAAAGCACCAAAATAAATTCCTTGGGAACTATCTTAAAATAGTGCGGACTTTCCCGAGGTTGGCCAATGGGAGATAAAGAAGCATGAAATTTTCCAAAAGCATCTTTTTTTGGGGGGTGGAAATGTAAATAGTGGACTTTTTCTGCCTGTGCTGGGTCAGGTCTGAGCAGCAGAAGAATGCATCTGGAAGCAATGGGGCAGTGTCTGCCTTGGCAGAAGGGCTGAGCCCTTCTTGGAGCTGCATTTCAGGGCTTCATTTTAGCCAAACCTTCCACGAGGAATTTGGTTTTAATTTTGCCTCGCTGAACTTCGAACAGCTGTGAGAGTTTGTGTGTTTTGAAGGGAAAACTCCTGCTTTCCTCCATCCAAAACCCAAACCCTGCAGCGTTCCTGCGCTGTGCAGCATCAGCTTGGAGCCACCCGGCGTGCTGGGATGTCCCTGCTGGAGCGGGGGGTTGCAACTAAACAACGGTGAGGTCCCTTCCGACCCAAACCACCGTATGATTCCATGATGCTGTTTGCTCCCGTGCCCTGTGTTCTGCAGCCCTGTGGGGTTCAGCCAGGGGGAGCTGGCAGCAATAATAGCCAGGCTGTGCCACCCCAGCACCGTGCTGCCATCCCACAGCCAGGAGGAAAGGTGTGACGTGAGGCGTGTGGCTGTAGGTCGGGGTGCACGTGCAAACCCCACTCCCATCCTCCTGCTGCGAGAGCTCTGAGCACTGATGCTGACCAGACACCTGGCAGTGCTCCCTGCAGCGCTGCTCTGCGTGTCCAAGTTTTCCTTTAACAGCCATCAGTGCTCACGTCCCGGCTGCAGGTCCTGCCTGGGCTGCAGGCTGCTTTCAGAACCAGGGCAGCCGTGCTGCTCCCCGGGGCCCTCCTCCCCCCGCCATGACCCTGTTTAGCTGCGAGGGCTCATGGCACAGCCCCGTGTTCCCGTGGCTGCTGCTGGTTCTCGTGGATCCCCGGGGAAATGCAGCGCTCGGGGGCGATGCTGACAGCACAGCTCCACATTTGCCAGGGGAAAAAAAAAAAAAAAAATGTGAAAAATACGCTGGTGCATTTGTAGGGTTGGTACAGCTGATTCTCAGCACTGCTTTAACCCTAACAGGCCGTGTGGAGTTCATCCAGGAGGTTCTGTTTGTGGGCTCGGCTGCTGCTGCCCTCTGCTCCTTCGGGGAGCGCTGGAGGCTGAGGTTGTGCCCTGAGCTCGGGGCATGCAGGGCACTGCTCACTGGTGCAGCACAGCAGGTGATGCTGCTGACATTTAAGTGGCATTTGGTTGTTAAGAGAGCAGAGAAGCAGTGATTGCAGGGAGGACAGCCCAGCTGCAGCTGGAGGTTTCTGAGGGTGCTGTGGCTGAATGCAGGGCTGGGCTGGGCTGGAAGGGAGGTGGTCCTGGTGGAGATGGCTCCTCTCTTCTGTCATTGTTTTAAAAGCAGAACAGAGGAAGCTGGTCCTTGGGTACAGCATAGCCTGTGTGCAGACCTCAAGAAGAGGCTGAGACAGAAACTGATCTAAAACAAAATAAGTATCCCTTCCTTCCCTGAAGGTAATAGCGAGTGGAGGAGTGATGCTCTGATGGAAGCTGCTTTGTGATTCCATCACAGCAGGGCTGTTGCCAGCAGTGGCTGCAGAGTTCTGTTCAGCCTCTGCTCTCCAGACCCAGCCTTTATATGGCATCATCCTTGTCTCAGAACCACCACTTCACTGCAGCACCACGCCGGGAGGCACTGCAGGTGGAAGGCTGGGGAAGGATGCAGTTCCCTGTGGGTCCCTTCCAGCTCGGGGTGTTCAGGCTGTAGCACAGGGCTGGACCTGCTGCCGTGGTTCTGCTGCAGCCCTGTGCTCAGCCTGATGGAGCCCTGCAGGCACAGCCCTGGGGAGGGCATGCTAATTGATAGCAGGTTTGGGCTTTGGATTTAGCAGCTCCAGCTGAATGTGCTTTCCAGCTGTGAGGCTTCAGCTTTGGTTCAGTTCCTTTGTCCTGGCCGAGGCACCACAGAGGGCTGTAAGGGGTGGTTTCCTTCTTGAACAGAAGACGGGGTTGTGTTGGGGTTGGAGGAATTAGAAATGTGATGACTTGCAATACCTGCCGTGGTGCAGGCTGAGCACAGACCTCATTGTGCTCAATGCACCCATGCAGAGAGGAGCTCATGGGGGGAAGCAGAGGATGGGAGCAGTGCATCCCACAGGAACCCATGCTGTTCTGTTTGGCTTTGGCGTCTGTAGGAGAAAGCTGCCCTGTCCAGAGAACTCCACTAAAAGCTGTGGTTTACCACAGTTGGCCCTGCAGCTCCTGCTGAGCTCCTCTCGCCCTGTAAAGCTCTCCTTCCTTGCAGGTATTTGGCCGTGGAGAAAAGGTGGTTTGTGGTTTTCAGATGTTCATTGTGCACGCAGAGCTCTGTGTGTCCTGGGCCATTCATCACTCACCCACACAGGGCAGCGATCAAAGCCAGCACGGCCATTTGATGTGAAAGGGAAACAATAGATGAGTTTGGGGCCCAGGAATGAGCTTCAGTTCTGGACATGAGGATTTAAAAGCCCAGGTTCTGTAGGTTTTGGGGTTGTGAAGGAAATGAAATCTGAAATGCTGGAGAGAAGCAGAAGCAGCTGAGAAGGCTCTGCAGCAGCCGGTGGATCGCAGTTTGGGTGCAGGCTGTGCGTGCTGGGGTGGGAGCAGTGTGCTGCTGGGGCTGCTCTGTTAGTTCTCCTGGTCATTAATTTCCTTTTTTTCTTTTTTTTTCCCCCTCCTTCCTCCAGCATGAACGACTTTCCAGGTAAGAATTTTGTTCCTCGGGATTTTTTTTCCGATTTAATATTTTAGGTTTAGGATTTTTTTCTATGTCCCATTTTTGCACAGCTCTGGGGTTCCCCGTCCTTCACATCAGTGGCACAAGCTGTCCCTGGCTCTGACCAGTGGGTTCTCATCTTAGCTCGGCTATTGGGCCGCTCTGCTTTCCTCCTTTGCTCCTCCAGCCACCCACCAGCCACGTGCAGCTCAAAACCCTTCAACGTCCCATTGAATGGAGCCCATTCCCACCATGAAGATGGGGATCCCTGATAACTGCTGGGCTGTTCCCAGCTGGTTCAGCATGGGGCACTGCCCACCTTTGTGTCACACTGCCATTCCCTGCATTGCAGCTGCTCCAGTGCTGCATCTTTGCCTTTCAGGTTGGAAGCAGCTACAGCCCCTGCCACCAGTGACTCCTACAGTGACCGTGCCTCCAGCCGCTCCAGTGCCTACAGCCGCAGGGAGAACCGCCTAGCAGCCCTCAGCAGCAGGGCAGAAGAGGAGAGCAACAGGGACTATAAAAAGGTGGGGTTTCTGTATGTAATGTTGTCACTGGCTGCACCTTGGAAGCTGCGCCAGCTGTCTTTGGAACATTTCCCATTGTCTGTTTCCATTGCCTTTGGGAATGATGCTCGCGGTTCTCAAATGCATCAGTCCTACAGAGGGTTAAAGCAGGATGGGGTGCAGGGAACCTGGGAAACAGGGAGTGAGGGATCGGGATGAAGAGATGGGGGAGTAAAGGAGATTTGTAAAGGAGAAGAAAGGCTAACCTTGAATGCCACCAGCATGGCCACAGCCTGCACACCCAACTGAATCATTTTGTCCTGCTGTGACTCCGGAATTATTTGTTCTAAAAGCTCTGAAGCTTTCAATGTGATCCTTGGAATCAGTAACACAGGCTGCCAGGTGTGCATGCACATCTGGTACTGATGCAAAGGCCGTATGAAAAGTGTCTGGAGCACTTCTGGCTGAAGAGCAGCCCTGCTAATTGAAACGTTTTGTATTTCAGTTGTACGAAAGCGCCCTGTCTGAAAATCAAAAGCTGAAGACAAAACTGCAAGAAGCACAGCTCGAGCTGGCTGACATCAAATCCAAGTTGGAAAAGGCAGCCCAGGTAAGGCCAAAAGCTGCTCCTCTGCTGGGCAAAGCGAGCACTGCCCCATGCCATGCCAACACATCCCCAGTGCGGGAGGGGATGCGGTGCTCAGGAGGGAAGCTGCTGCAGGGGGACTCGTGTTACGTTGCACAGAAAGCAGGGTGGTGTGTGTGATTCTCTAAGGACTGCTGCTTCTCTGGGCAAGTGCATCTGTGGGCTTTCCAGGCCTTTGTACAGCATCGTGTGAATGCCTCTCCATTTTAATAGCTTTCTATTTTTAATTTGCATAGCAGAAACAGGAGAAAACTTCTGACCGGTCTAGCATGCTGGAGATGGAGAAAAGGGTATGTGTGTCTGCTTTCTTCTGGGTTCTGATCTTTGCCTCATGCTGCTCTACAGAGCATACTAATTTCTGGAAGGAAAGTGTTAATTAAAAGATAAGTTATATTTTTGCCTTGCAGAGCAGTGCACAGCTATAATTGTGTTCTGACCTTTTTGTGCCTGAGACTTTTCTGCTCTCTTTGCAGATCAGCCATGTTCTGACTTCCTTCTTTCATTATAGGAAGCTACAGAGCAGCAGATTGTATTGCAGAGTCCTACAGGGCTGTCGGTCCATTATGCTTTAAAATGTTATTGATCCTTATAAATAGAAACTTTCAGGAGGGAGGGAGAAACAAGACAAAGCACTGGCTGGGTGTCCATCCTTGTGATTACACTTGAAATCTGATTGATTGAATGCTCCTTCCTCCTAACCAAGCAGTCAGATTTGTTGCAATACGTTTAGCTGAGCTTGTGGTGTCTGGCTGAGTCTGTGCCTTAACTGACCCTGAAGTCAGGTTGGAATGGACCTGAGGAGAGCTGTGCTCCACCTCACGTGTAGGGCCAAAATGAGCCCCAGCACATCACCTGCTGCCACGTCCATCTGGTCAGCTCCTGGCTGTGCAGTGCTGTGAGGTGCTTTTTGGTGATGGCTCCTATAGAAGTGCAAGACTTTTGCTTTTCTTTAAAAGAAAATATGCTTTGTTTTACTTGTAAACACCTGTGACCGTCTCTGTTATGAATCCCTGTAAACAGGAGAAGCGAGCCCTGGAGCGGAAACTCTCTGAAATGGAGGAGGAGATGAAGGTAGGGAATAAACTATTCCCCCTGTCTGTTCTAATTTTGATGCTTTGTATTAATGTCTGTTGGGATTGTCACCCCGGAATGGGATATTAAAGATATACATGGGAAGGGACTCATCTTACCTCTGAGTGCCTCCCTTTGTGCATCCAGGCCTTGCTTTGATGGCTGTGTTCTCCAAACGTGGAGTAGTATTAAAACCGCTCTGTTAGCATCCATCGGATCGCACCGTATGTTCCACCTGTTCTGTTGTTTGCCCTGAGAACTGTGAAGGCTATTCTCCCCAAATGCTTTCTGAGACTAACCTTCTGTGGCATCCGTGAGTTTCAGTTCGCTGAATAGTCTGCAGCCCGAGCAAAGCCGTTGTGTCTCTCTCCAGATGGGTAAGAAGACAAAGCTGGCTTTTGAGATCACGCGCACCGGCCAGCACAGAGCACAGTGATGTATTTCTGTCCGCCCTTCCTACAGCATGTTTGTGGAAGGCTGCGTCAGTAAGTCAGGCTGGAATGGATCTCAGCAAAGAGGAATTTGCTCCCAAGTCCAGCATGGCTTGCTGTTCCCAGCCCTCCCCCCGACCGCTCCCTGCCCCCCCCCCTTGTGGCGCTGCTGGGACGGAGCCCTGCTGGCAGGGAGCACCGCGCTGCCCGATGCAGTGTTTGCCACCTGGGTGCACCTGCAGCTTCACAATGATTCTGCGGCCTTCCATCATTTTATGCTGCACTTGAATGCTTGTACTCACAGAATGGCCCTCTGCGTCCTGTGTGCTGTGCTTCCCTTCCCTCTGAGGAGGATCCAGGTGGCACCGCGTCGCTTTGACAAGGCAGGAGCTGGGGGTGTGAGCAGTGCACTGATGGAAATCATTTCCTGCCACCCGCAAGGAGGTTCCAACTTTGTGCTCCTATTTCAAGCTTCGTATCTCTACCAGGCATACACCTTTGAAAGGATATATTGGCTTTTCCTGCATCTTCTCCTGCAGTAAGTCTCAGAACAATTTGGTGGAGTCTTGCTGTAAGGGCTCTCTTGGTCTTTCAGACAGGACAAAATGAATGTGGATGTGCTCAGAGGGGAGCGACAAAGGGCTGAATGTGCCTGGATTCCAAATCCTTCCTCCTCTCAGCAAGTGGCAACCTTGAACTCCAGAGGGACTTTCCCATCATTACAGAAACACAGCCTCCAAGAGAAAACACAGGCAGGAGCACTCTGTGGCATTGCTTTAGCTCTGTAGATCTCTCCACAAACCAGCTCAGTCCGTGGAGTAAAAAGACAAATTGGTGTCCTCTAGTGGCCTGTTGGTTTTGAACACTTCTATTGGTTCAGAAAGCAATTAATGAGAGAAGATGCCTGCAGGGACTGCTGGACACAGCCCACAGCTCCTCTGCTTGGGGGAGCCGGGAGCTGCAGGTGGATGGAAGCTGAGGAAGTGCTGTGGGAAAAGCACCACGTGAAGTCTGATGTGTTCCTGTGTTACCCTGAAGCTGCTGGAGGCAGCACATGGCTACAGCAGCCTGTGGTCTGCTTGAGAACAAGCTCAGCTCCTTGGGAGTGATGCTGCCTGTTTCTGCAGACCCAAACAGCCTTTTGTTAATGGAATAAATAGATGTGAAATGTGAAAAGTGTCTCTTCTGAGGCGCTGCTGTGTTTCCACCCCACCAGACTTTGCAAAAACTCCAGCATGTGATGAGCACCTGGGTGTGCTGTGACATACAAACAGTGTGAAGGCTCTGACAGTGAAAGCGTTGGACCAGTCCATAAGGAGAGCAAACTTTCCACGTCCACTTACATCACATCTTAAAGCAGAATTCAGCCCAGCTGTGCTTGTGTAGAATGAGATAACCTCTGCAGAACATCTGTGTTAAGCCCTACTGTGTCAGTAGTGCCAGGAAAACAAATCTCTTAGTGCTGGCTATGCTTGCATTCCTGTTACTTTTGCTAATTGAATAGCTATTGAGCAGCATCAGGAAGAGCAATTTAAGCAAATCCACCAGTTTCCTATAAGGTGGAGAGCAGCAAGGGGAATACCCACCTATGCCATGGTGTTGGATTCTGAGTCATACTGCAGTCACTGGGATTCTTCCCAGCAGTCTGAGTGGAACCAATCCATCAGGGCTCACCTGCAGCTGTTTGCTCTTTGGCTGGCACTGAGTCCAGAGCACTGTGGGAGCAGCTGGCTCCTTGGGAAGAGGAGCAATGTCACAGGAAGGTCCTGGGTTGCTGTGACAGCAATGCTGTGTAGTTCAGCCCAAGCTTGAGGTTACAAGCTTTGTTCCTTCTATAAGTTCAGCTACTGCTGGTGAAGCTGCCAAGAAGTGGAGAGGAACGTGGTGAAACTGGTGATGGCAGGGAGCTCCGTGGTGCTGGAGGGGCTCCTGCAGCCCTTGGGAAGGTGACACAGCAATACAGCATTTTCCTGAGTGACTGCAGGGTTTGACTGGAGATACAGCAACTTGGCTGAGGAAGGAGGAAGAAAATTAGCATTTGCACTGAACTGATTTCAGTGCCAAGTGCCTGAGGTCCCAACTTAACACAGCAATTTTCCTTGAAGGTCACAGAAGCTTCTTTACTCTGAAGCAGCACCGCACCTCCTGGCTGGGTACATTGTGCATGCTTTGGGCATCCTTATTTCCCTGAGTGTTGCAGGCACAAAACCCTTTAATTGAAGGCAAGTACAGCTGAACCGAGGAGCTGCTTTCAGTAAGCCAAGAATCAAGCAGAGTGATAAGCAATCACAGCAGGATCATCCACATTCTGGTCTTTGCCTTTGGCTTCAGCCCAGCTCTCAGCCTCCGCTCGCTGTCTTTGAGCATGATAAATAGGAAGCCATCCGACCTGCAGCACACACACATTTTTGCATAGGTGATCCTTTTCCCAGCTGCACAGCGTGCTGAGGCTGAGCTGCATCTGCTCGTGCTGTGCTGCAGTTCGTGCTCTGTTGGCGCGGGAAGTGAAGATGGTCTCTAAAGTGATCACAATCCTTTCCACCCCACGAAGCACGCACTGCGTTCTACATATGTTGGCCATTTTCTGCCAGCCAGATGCTCAGCTGTAATAAAACAGAGAGCATCTATAAACTGCGATACCGCAGGAAAAAACGGCCCTTCAGTCCAACCAGCAGCTCCTGGGTGCAGGATGGACACGGTGATGTCTGTCTGTCCTCTGTCCAGCCGGCACAGTGGGGCAGGTGGTGCTGGCTGGGATCTGGGGGTGGGCAGGGTGTCTGTCCCCCGAGCTGTCCGTCTGTCTGGTGTCAGAGCGGTGCAGGTGAAGGCCAGCAGCAGGAGCTGTGCTCCCTTGGATGCAGGAGCAGCTGCACAGCCAGCTGGGCTCAAGCCCCGTCCTTTCCTGCTCTGCATCCCTTCCGTTGGCGTTGCGAGGCTTTTGGACGAGGTCTCCATTCCTTCATGAGGAGCAAAGGTGGTGCTTAGGGGCAGCTGGGGCTGCACTGCTGGCTGCCCAAAATGCTTCTGTGCAGCACTGAGCCCTCAAACAGAACATCCCTGCATGCAGCAGTTCTGTGGGGAGCTCCAGCAGCTCCATGCACATCAGGTGAGAGTTCTTCGTCTCACAGCTGTGCCAGCACTGCCCTGGCTAAGGCTGATGTCATTTTGCAGGTAGTGCTGCCTTGGGACCCTTCCTGCTGATGGCATGGCAGGAAGGAGCTCCCACAGCCCCTTCATCTCCTCCATCCCCACACACACAGGCGTGGGGAGGCTGCAGGAGGGACGGATGGCACTTTGCCTTGGGCTGGGATTTGTCTCTTGAAGCCAAAATCCCTCCTTTGGAGGGTGCTTCCCTTCCTGCCCCCCACCCCATGGAGGGGCTGCAGTGCAGGAAGCAGCACTCAGCCCTCACACCTGGCGTCCATTCACAGTGTTGGTGTCGATCCATTTTGCTGTAGTGTTGCTGGGAACGCGTCCTCCTTGTGTGAGCAGCAGTGATGTCTGCACAGCTTTCTGCTCTGCCTTCCCCTGTGCTTCCACGTCGTGTTTCTGTGCCCACCCCTCCTGGGTGCTGATTCCTGCCCCGTTCTGTGCTCGTGTGGTCCAGCACTGTGTTCTGTCTGCCTCTTCCTCGGGCTCTTCTCATTCAAGCTCCTGTCATTAAAACGAGTGCTTTCAGTTCTTAACTTTTCCCCTCTGAAGGCTGAGTCTCCTGGCAAAGAAGAGTTGAATTTGGGCTGGGTTATTTGGAAAAGCCCAGGCCCACCCCACAGCTTTGGGGAGCAGAGCCAAGAGCCCATTGGGTGCCATGGGGTGAAGGCTGTCAGCAGGCTGTGGCCGTGGCTCAGCTCTGTGCCCTCCAGAGGCTCTGCTGCAGCTCTGCTCACTTCTGTGCAGCTGCTTCAGTGTTCAGAGATGCATGGGAGGAGTGGCACGGAAATTCAGGTGCCGGCAGTGCTCCCAGAGCTCCCAATGCTCCCAGTGCTCCCAGTGCTCCCAGTGCCCGTGGTGGCGGTGGGACACCGTGATGGTTCTCATAGTGGTTCACACTCCCAAAGCTGTGTCTGGTGGAGCTCATTAGGGGTCATTAGCAAATCACCCCCAAGGACCATCCTGCTTTGGCTGGGAAGTCCACTTTCTTAGGACCATTCTAAAGGCTTTTGGGGTCCCTGGGGGAAGGGTGGGCTCCCCAGGTGCTGTCAGTGCGCCGAGGGCTTTCTGTGTGCACATCTGAGCTGCTGCCCACCCAGCACTCACCGCTACTGATTTGTCTTTTCTTTTTCTCTCTATTCTTTTACCCCTTGTGGACTAAATTCACCTTTCTGTGCCCTTTTGTCTCCATGGTGTGTTCTCTCCGTATCTTCCCGTCCCCTCCTGTCCCTCTCTGCAGAACCTCCACCAGCTCAAACAGATTCACACTCTGAGGCAGATGAACGAGCAGCTGCTGGCCGAGAACAGGGCTCTGACGCGGGTTGTGGCCAGGCTCTCACTGCCTGCCAAGCCCTCCGAATCAGAGGAGCTGTAGCCATTGGCCATCCGGCTCATCTCGCCTCCCTCCTCCATCCTGCAGGCAGGTCTCCGCTCCGTGGCCGAGCTCTCCCCTGGCTGCTGGGCTCCAGGCTGCATGCGGCCGATGCTCTGCTGATGCTGCTGGGCGGGCAGGGCTTCCCTGCACGGTGTGCCCTCGGTTCTGCTGGCTCCGCTGTGCTTGGCAGCCGCTGAGCTCCGCCGTCCCACTAACAGCCCGCAGCAGGGGGGGCTGCTTTCTCCTTGCCCAGAAGAGAGACAGGAGGACCCGCTGCACCCCGGCACATGGGTGGCACTGAGGGGTGGGAGCCCGGCTGCTTCCCTGCGGCTCAGCCGGCTGCCATCGGGGCGGTGGCAGAGGCGGTGCCCCTTCCATCGCTGTGCCCGCGGTGAGGTTTGCTGTGTGTCTGATCGAGGTGTCTTCAGGCTTAGTGCAGCACAGCGGGCGCACAGCAAGCATTATGCAAAGTCGCAATGAATGATTAATGAACTTCCAGGGGCGTCATGAAAAATGCGCATTTTAGAGAGGAAGGTGGTTTCAAGAAAATCCCAAACTGATCAGTCTTCAGCACTTTCTCTTGTTTTCTGAAGCAATGAAAACAAGCTCCTTCCCTCGTGTGAAGCAGCGGAAGGTGTCGCTGTGAGCTCCGCGCTGCAGCATCCGTGCTGCCTCCTGCAGGACGGTGTGAGCAGAGCCGGCCCGGTGCCGTGCACCCACTGTGTGCTGGGGGTCACTGCAGAGAAGTGGGTGCGTGAGCCTCGGGGAGCTGCACCCTCACACATCACACGGTTAGACTGCATCCTTTCCTGCTGCTGCATTGCCTCAGTGCTCACATAACGCCGTGCTTCCTCCCTTCGTTGCATCCTGCGCGCCTTCTGCAGGTTAGTAGGGATATTTGGGTCCCTTCAGGCAGAGCTATTTTTTCCTAAAGGAAAAAAAAGAACCACTGTGCTCTAGTGGGATGGAAGTGGCACTGAGGTATGAAGAAGTCTATTCTTAGCACACAAATTATATCAGAGATGATTAACCATAGAAACAAACTAACCGGGGGAATTGGGGCTTCCCTTCCCCGAGCCTCAGTGCCAGAGCCCAGGTTCTGCTCTGGCTGCTTTGTGCTGTGGGTCAGAGGGAATGATCTCCCCACGCGCCCGCTTTCAATCCGCAGGAGTAGCCCCATGCCTGTCCCTGCCCCCTTGTTCTCATAGCCTCAAAGCCGCCATGTTCCACCAACTTTAAGCCGCCCGTCTCTCTTCTTCTCTTAGGAAATAATTGCAGCTCCGTTTCCCCCCTCTGCCCCGTTGCTTCCAGTGCTGTCCCATTGCAGGCTGTGTTGATGATGCTTGCTGCCCGCTTGCAGGCTCTGCTCTGTGCTGGGAGCAGCGCTGCGTCCCTGCGCTCCGCTGGGTTTCCTCAGCTCTTCTCACAGGTCCGGCACGGGATGCTGCTGCTGCCCGTCAGCTGCTCTCCTTGCTGTCCTTGGGCCTCACAGCTGTACAGCCATGTCACTGTTCTCAACTGACAGATTTACTGCAGTGGCCCTTCACGGAGAATCTCATTTTCCAAAATCCACATCATTTCTGCAGTGTCACCTTCTGCGTGTCGCAGTGCACACAGCTCAGCTCGCAGCTCGCTCTGTGCTGATGCTGCACATCAGCGTCGTGGGGCCGTGTGGGCTGAGCCCTCCTGAGCCCTCCTGGCCCCGTCCCTCTGTGCCGTTCTAACAGACATTTACAGAGCATCATTGCTCAGACCCCTGCAATACCAGCCCTGTTTCATGTGCTGTTTATTTTGTGAGGCTTGAGCCTGGTTTGCAGTGAAGGGAGGAGTGCCCTCTGCTCGGGAGGGACTGCACTTTGCAAGGCTGATGTGTGGCTTCCAGAAAGCTTCACTGGAAACTGATGGAGTCAAGAAACAACCAGGAAGCTTCAGGAAACACATTGTTCCATTCCTCCCGTTCCAATTAATCACCAAAGTTGCACTGAAGTGTTTTTGTAAAGCACAGCCAGCATCGGTAAGCTGAAATGGGGATGGATGCTGCAGGGCCACCCCAGGCAGTGACAGAGGGGGACGGGGGCTGTGTGCAGCCCTCAGTTCAGCCCCTCGGTTGCTCTGGACGTGGAGGCAGTGTGCTCAGTGCTGAGCTCAGAACCGCAGAGTCGTTAAGGCTGGAAAAGACCTCTGAGATCCCCAGCCCCACCACACTGTGCCCACTGCCATCAGTGCCCGGAGGTCTGAGCGCAGTGACCTCCGGGCAGCCTGTGCCAAAGCATCACTGCTCCCTCAGAGAGTGAGGATGAATCACTGGAGGGAATGGAAGGGCAGAGTGAGAGCACAGACACTTTGTCCTTCTCACCATTCCTGGGCACTCGGTGTTTGGCACTGCCTGCTGTTCGGCCATCATTCCATGATGAACCACAGCATCTGTTCCAACGGCCGCTGTGTCGTGGGGTGCAGCCCGTGTCACCTCTTCCTTTGGGAACCCCCAGCACAGGAGTTGGAGACAGCTGTGCTGTGCAGGGATGCGGTGCACTGGGAGCTGGGATGGAGCCGCCTGCAGGCAGGGCCGGGGCTCCAGCACCAGGGGGGAGAAGGCAGAGCAGCTCTGCAGGGGGGGGATTTCATTTCAGGGGAATTCCTCCAAGGTCTGCATGGACGCAGGTGAGTCGGCGCTCAGCTCGCTGTGTGCTTTGTGCCACCTCCAGCTGCACTGTGACCCCAGACACTCAGCACCAGTGCTGTTCTGCTCCTCCTGCCTGGGCAGCCCCATCCCCAGAGCTGCTCCCTGAGGGTCTGCAGTGTGGGAAGCAGGAGGGTCAGGCTTGTTTGCCAGGAGGAGGTGCTGGGAAGGTTCTGTTAGTGTTTTTTTTTCCCCTCTCTATTCAATTGGAGGTCTGTGGTTTTTCTCTGCTGCGGTCACTCGGCTGTGAGCACCGTGCAGCTCTCCGGGATGTTCTGTGGGACCACGATGTGAGCACTGACATCAAATGTCGTGTGATCCCAAAGAGGTGCTTTGTTCTAAAGATCAGCTCTAAAGATCTCAGCCCCGTCCTGAGTTAGAAGTCCAAGGCAGAAAACGTGTCAGGCCTGGACAAATGGGAAAATGGGCACAGGAAGAACTGCCTTAGTAGCTTTCTGTTCTGCCAGGTCCTGCTCAGCCTGTGGGAGGGGTTTGGATGAAAGGGCTCAGAAATGGTCCCAGCTGTGGCCCAACTGAGCTCTGTGGCACCGCTTTCCTGGGGGCTTTGCTGTGTGAGGAGCCGAGCTGAGCTGAGCCCCCAGCCCTGCTGTAACCCCGGCCCTCTTTGTGTTTGTGCAGATACTGACGGAGCTGAAATCGGACAATCAAAGGCTGAAGGACGAAAACGGGGCACTCATTCGTGTCATCAGCAAACTCTCCAAGTAGGAGCCGAGCTGCGGGACAGGGGGGTGCCCTGCTGAGCCCTGCCCCTTCCTCCTGCCCCACGCACAGCAGCATTGCAGCCACAGGATCAGCATCACTCCTCCCTGCCCTCGGCTGGACGTTCCCCTTCTCCCCTTTCCCCCCACAGTGCACACCCCGGCCGTTCTGTTTTGATTTCAGCATGTTGTGCTATCGGACATTGGACTCAAGGGAGAAGAGGAGGATGTGGAGTGGTGCTGAGCTGCCAAAACTTCTCCTTCCAGCAGCCCACGGTGTGCAGGAGGGAGCTCTGCTGTGCGAAGCGGTGCCCACAGAGCTGGTGCAGCACATCCGTGCCCTTTGCAGGTGGGAGATGTGACCGTGGGCCAGGATTCTGTGGACGTGCATCAGCCCATGTGCAGTGTGGGACTTTGGTTAAAATGTGGCGCTACGAGGAGTGGCAGCAGAGCTGATTCCTTCAGCAGGTGGGGACGGCTGCTTTGCACAGAGACCTGGCTGGTTTTTATTTCATGTACGATTGCAGATCTGGTGGGTAAGTGCCCCTCCTGTGCAGCTGGTGATGCTGGTGGTGCCGTGCTGCAAACCCCCGGGGCTCCTGCCAAGCTCACTGCACTCAGCAGCACCTGGTACCTGCACCCGGACCGCTGTTCTCAGGACGGCATTGCAGACGTTTACCAAACTTTCTGAAGGAGAAGCCTGGTGTGCTGTGTTGGTGTGGGATGGCTGCCGTCAGGCAGAGCCCCGCAGAGGAGCCTGGGCAGATACTTCAGGTCCCTGCAAGGGCTTTTCAGCATCAGGCTGACCAACTGAACCACAGCACGGTTTTGTTTCTGGGGAATGGAAACGAGGAGGGCAATGAGCCCTGTGCAGCCCCAACCCTGGTGGCACAGCTCCTCGCAGGTGGTTTGGGGGCACTGGGCACGGAGCTGCAGTAGCTGTGCTCCAGGTGCCCAGGGATGCTGTGGGGGCTGGGAGCTGTGTGGGAATGCCGGGAGCTGCATCGCAGTCTTTTCATCCATCAGAAGTTTGCAGTCCGCCTCGGCCTTGAAGGAAACCTCAAAAAAAAACAACAAAAAAACAACCCAACCCTCTTTATGGACTCAGAACAGTTTGAAATTGTTCTCTCTGTGGGCATTCAGGCAGTGACTCCTGCATGTGCTGCACGCTGAGCAGCTGAGCTCCCATAGCAGACTGCTCTCCTCGCAGCGTGCAGCCCCACTCCCTCATCCTCCCCCCCTCTCATTGCCTTTGTCCCTGCATTTTCCATCTGTGCCATGGGCTCCTCGAGCTCGGAGCAGCATCACGCCGTGCACAGCGGCTCTGTTGGCTGCAGGTGTGTGGCTCTGTGCTGAGATGCAGATGGATACTTGAACATGAGTACGACTCCTAGGTTTGCTCAACAGGGTAAAAATTCATCTGTCTGTCCTGGGCTTCTTGGAGCCTCCTGCTGGTTATCACCTGTGCATTTTCCTCTCCCTGGAGGCTTTTTTGTTTCTTCCTAATTCTCCATTTTCCCCTCCTGTCCTCCCGTCCCACCTCTCTGGCTGGGCTCAGGGCAGCTCAGCACAGAGCTCCCACTGCTCCTCTCTGCGCCGTTCTCCGGTGCAGCGCAGCCGTTCCTCTGCTGCTGTGCTTTGGGGAGGAGGAGAAGCACTTTGGCATCAGCGGGGCTCCTGCAGAGCTCTGCCCACACCGGGCAGGCAGTGTTACTGCTTCACGTGTCCCTGCTTTATGGAACAGCTTTAAGCCCTGAGCTCCGGTCAGTGCTTTCCCTGCACGCCGCTCCCCTCGGTGCGCTCAGTGTGAGCACTGCTGCATCTCTCCATGTTCTCCCACCCTCACCCCGGCTTGGCTGCAGCAGTGTTGCCCCGTCCCAATCCATGGGTGCTCCTGGCTGCAGGGAGAAGGCTCAGCCCGACCCGACATCATCTGCACCAACATTGTGCCCCTTCCTCCCGGGGCTCTCGCTGCGCTCTGCCCATCAGGAGCCGTTATGAGAGGGGCGCAGAGCCAAAGCAGGGATGCAGCACTGCCTGCCCCTCTGTGCTCACAGCCAACGCTGCCAGCGCTCCGTGCTGACGGTGGGAGCAAAACCCAGCGGGTGGGGAGGACTTGGGGCTGTCAGTGGTGCATCTGCATGAAGCACCGAGGAGGTGGTGAGTGGGATTCCGTGCTCTGCGCTGGGCACGGAGCGCAAAGGAAACGGATTTTAACGCTGCTCCCTCCTTGAAGCAGAGCGTTTGTCAGACGTGTCTCCTTTGGAGCTTTTTTTCTAAGCAGTGCTTGGGGTGAATTCGTTTTTATTGCTTGGGGTGAACCCTGTTGTGGCTGCGAGTTTGATGGTGGCTCTTTGTAAATAACCTCCTGGAGGAAGCGGGACTGGCGTTCCAGATGGGGAGAGAATGTATTTTTATGCAACTTTGAGTGGCCTTTCAAACCCTGAGATGAATGATTTGTTTTACTGGTTGTTGTTATATAGTATTATAAGTATTATGTGTTTGAAAGTTTGGGAATAATATTCACATCTATGATGCTTGTAAACACAACAGTATTTATAAATAAATAAAATAAGAGTTGATAAAATAGAAATTGTGTCTGAGTCCGACTTTCTGGGGCTGGGGAGGGGTGGGCCCATGTCCTCACATCTCAGCCCATGTCCTCACACCTCAGCCCATCTCCTCACACCTCAGCCCATGTCCTCACATCTCAGCCCATGTCCTCACATCTCAGCCCATCTCCTCACATCTCAGCCCATCTCCTCACATCTCAGCCCATCGCTGCTGCCTGGGAGCTGACACCCCCAGGTGAGAGCTGCAGAAGTGGCCCCGGGGATGGAAGCCCTCCTGAGAGCAGTGCCTGCAGGGGCTGTGAGAAGGAAGGGGACGGAGCACAGCAGTGGTGTGAGATGGGATGAGGGCTGCACACTGAGGCTGTGCTGCCCCATCCCTGCAGACCCCCAAGGGCTGCATTGCTGAGTCGGACCTGGTGGCCTTTAATGGCCCCTTCCAACTCAAACTGTGATTCTACGAGTTGGTGAAGCTGAAAGCTGAGCTCTGAAATGCCCTCACGTGTCCCCAGAACTTCACCCCCAGCAGCAAAACCAGCAGGGCAGCAGGGCTCCTTTCAGCTGTTTCTTTAATAAGGAGACAGATATCATTACAAAATAACCATTGAACGATCAGAGACGGAACGACAGAGTCCACACGAGGGGAAGGGGCTTTAAAAGCAGCTTCCTGCCGGAGCCGAGCGCTGCGGGGGCGTGGGGGGGGCAGGGGGGGATGGGGTTGGGGATGGGGGCTTCATCCTCACGATTATGGGGCACGAAGGCAAAGCTGTGTGGCCTCACTTCTGTCCCCGGGAGGATGGCGCTGGTGTCACTGCGAGAGGGGGAGGGAGGGGAAAGAGGAGAAAAGGAACAGAAGGGAAGGGAAGGAGAAGAGGAAGAGGAAGGGGAAGGAGAAAGGGAACGGGAAGGGGAAGGGGAAGGGGGAGGGGAAGAGGAAGAGGAAGAGGAAGAGGAAGAGGAAGAGGAAGAGGAAGAGGAAGAGGAAGAGGAAGAGGAAGAGGGAGCAGCCCCCAAACAGACACAGCAGAGCCCCAGAACTGCTCCCCAACACCTTCCCACCACCATCTCCAACACAGCACAGATGTCACTGCAGGACATCCCTGGTTTCAGCGCCCACCCCCCGCAGCTCTGAGCCCCACAGCCGGGGTTGGCGGCCACGTGGGACCCCCGGGGCGCTGCGGTCTGATATGGCTTCTAAAGTTGCAGTGATGTGAAACGCACCAACGCGACACAGAACACCGAAGCCACGATGGGGCAACGCGACGAACACGGGGACGAGAGACGCACATGGAGGGCACGGCCGTGCTGGCAGCGCTCGCCCTCCGCGGGCTGCAGGCATGCGGTGCTTCTTGGCCTATTTTCTTCTTTTGCACGATTTTGTTTTATTTTATTTCATCTTTTTGGAAGGGGAGGGTGGGGAGAGGGAGCACTCAGGCAATGAGTTTTGTCTCTGCTCGGGCACGGCCGGGCCATGCTGCGGGGCTCATGCACTGCTTGTGGCTTTACAGCGATGGACGTCTCCATACAGATACCTACACACAGCTGGGGGGGCAGAGGCAGCACAGATGGCTTTTGTAGGTTGGTGGTTTGTCCCTTTTTTTTTTTTTTTTTTTTTTTAAATTATCATTATTATTATTATTATTAAAATTAAAAATAAAGAAAGACGTATCATGTATTAAAGTCAGAGTTCCACCCCCCGCCCCACCCCGAAGCATAAAGAGTCCGAATGGAAATTGCAAAGTGCAGCAGGGATGGGGAGCGGGCGGGGGGGTGCGTGGGGCACAGAGTGGGGGGGGGGGCACAGTGTGTGTGTGTGTGTGTGTGTGTGTGTGTGTGTGTGTGCACAGCATGTGCTCCTCTGTTGCTTCCAATGGAACGCCAGAGCTCTCGGTCTGGGCTGAGGGATTCCTGCTGCTGCCCCACGCTCCCAGTCATTGAAGCCACCCCGAGATTTCTCCTCCCTTCACTACACGGTCTGCACACGGCTGTACTCACACCCTGACACAGGACAAGAAATGAATCAAAGCCAGGAAACCACTGCTCCCAGCCCCAGCACAGGGACCCCAGGGGTGGGACAGCAGTTTGGGGTCTCCAGTCCCACTCCCAGCTCAGGGCAGGGCACTCCCCACCAGCTCACCACGGTTGTGGCTATCAGAACCCCGAACCACGCCAAGGATGGAGGTGTCCCCCACTGGGGCTACACCCCCAGAGCTCCACTGTCCCTCACTGCCGAGTTCTCCATCTCTTCCCTGCCTCCAGCTGGGGTGGGGGAGGGCAGTGCCGAAGCATCCAATGGCCCCAGGGGGAGCTCAGCTTTGGCACATCATACCTGGGTATCAATACACCAGGTGTAGACCCCCGGCAGCATCCCAGTGCCTGGGGCTTCCCCACTGCACCCTGAAGTTGCTTCTCTGCTGCAAGCTAGCTCACCCAAATGCCAGTCTCTTTCATAGCCTAACAGTGCCAAACTCTGCGTGCTGAGGACGTTCCAAGGAGCTCCTCTCACCAGGACCTTTGCCACAAGACCTGGGGTGCAGGAAAGCAAAGCAGAGCAGCAAGCACAAAGCTGCTGGGGAGAGCTGCACAGGGACATGGGGACACACTGTGCCCCAGTAAGGACCAGGCTGAACTGGACAAGGTCATCAGCTTCCCAGCTCAGGGGCTTGGATCCAGAGAAGTTCTTACCCAACCAGTGCTGCTGCCAGCAACAGGAATATGGCTTATTCCACCCAGCAGGAGTGGGAAGGGTGGGTGTGACAGCAGTTGGCTCCTGGGGAGCAGCAGCCCATGGGGAATGGGGGGGGATGCGGCCCCCCAATGGTGGGATGCAGCCATAGGGCCGGAGTTGCCAGAGCCCAACCTGGGCTGTGCTGGGTGCCCACAGTGGGGCTCAGCCGAGGGGGTGGCAATGGGTCCCACTGCAGCTCCTGCAGCACTCAGAGACCTCTCCATGTGAAGCAGCCGCAGGGAAGCATCTGGAGCGATGGGTTTCTACGCGGTGTCATCAGGAGGCAAACAGCAGCTCCAAGCACGGTGGGAAACGCAGAGCTGTGTGGCTCAGCCCCTGCTGACACCACAGTGGTGGCCCACACTGCATCCCATGGTGCATCTCCTCCAAGCACTCCGTCCATGTGCTCTTCCTTCATCCCCTCAACTCCTGCAGCACAGTTCCGCCGTCCCTGCACACCTCTCCCCAGCAGCAGCCAAAGTTGGAGCAGCCCAGCATCTCATTCTCACCCCATGGGAGGCGCAGCAGGAGAGGGGAAGCAGCCGGGTCTCCCACAGAGGTGATGGATGTCCGCGCTGGTGCTGGAGCCCCAAGCAAGCACAGTGAGTGTGGTCATCCCGCTCCGGTGCACCTCCATGCAGCGATGCTCGGCGATCCCCATGGGCAGAACGGAGGCGGTGAGGCCGTGGGTTGGTGACGCAGCACTGGGGAGGGATGCTGGGTGAAGGGGATGGGGCATGCAGCCAGAGGGAGCGATGCTGGAGAATGAAAAGAACCATCCGAGTCTTTAACCTCTTCCCCTGGAAGCTATTGGGACTGTCTGGAAACCCTTCCACAGCCGTCAAAGGGTATTTCAGCTTAAAACAGAACAACGACAACAAAAAAAGAACCAAACCAAAGGTTGCGTAACTGAGGTATCGGTAGCTCTGGGTCGCTTTGAATGTCCGCCGCGCCGGCTGCAGGTCTTCTATTTGTTCTTCCCGAGAGCTGCATCCACTTCTTCCTCTGGCTTCAGTGAGTGCCACTGGGCGATGGGCCGCCGCGGGTTGGCCAGCATGTCAGACCAGTGCCGCAGCTCCGTGCCCGTGGAGTTGAAGCCTGTGAAGATCTTGCCGATGGCTTCGTTCTTGCCCAGCTTGTCGTAGTCCAGCACCGTGATGACCACCTGCACTTTCTGCAGGAGGAAGCTGTCGTTAGAGGGGCAGAAAGGCAGAGCCCCAGGGATCCCACAGGGCTGAGCCCCACAGTGGCCACTTTTGGGGCAAAGTCCCCTCCATCCTCCCACCACTCCATTCCACGGAGGGTCAGAGTGGGGACTCTGCTCATCCTCACGTGGCCACCCTTTCTGCACTGGGGTGAGCCCAGGAGCAGAGGAAGGTAGATGTGGCACTGAGGGACGTGGTTAATGGGCACGGTGGGGATGGGGTGCAGTTGGACTTGATGAACTTTGAGGTCTTCTCCAACCTTAATGATTGGATGATTCTATGAAAGCCCCAGCCCTGCCGTGAGCTGGGTTTGAAGGTGCACCTCCAGACCAGGCTCAGGGATTGGGTTCCAGCTGGACCAGGAGCTCAGCAGGAGGCCTCAGGCTGCTGGGACGTCCTTCACTTCCCCCCTCCCACGTCCCCAGGGATGTCAGCACACCAACCTGTATCTGCTCAAAGGGGATCTCGAAGCTGAAGGATTCGTTGAAGTAAGGGTTTAAGGTCTTCTTCTTAACTGTGGTCTTCTTCTTCTTCAACCTCTTCCCGTTCTGCAGCAGGTGGATCTTCACATAGGGATCTGGGGGGAGGGGGTGCATCAAGCAGGGCTGGGACACCCATGGGACACCCTGGGGCAGATCTCAGCCCAAGATGAGGGCACTGTGAGGTGAGGAGTTCGGAGGTTTGTGGATGGAAGCCAAAGCCAACATATTTCCTATTTAGGGAGTCGCTGGGCAAGGGATGGAGCTGCCCTGCCTGCTGTGGTTCTCCTTGCAGGAGGGCTGGGACCAGCAGGTGCCCCACTGATGGAGCAGGAGATGTCGGCAATGAAACCAAACCTTGTCATGCACTGAGCACCAAACTCTACCCTTCCTGAGGGGCAGGGGGCTCATCTTCCCTACAGCCCGGCTTCAGGCTGCCTCCAACAAAGGACATTGAGAGCACTGGGATGGGTCAGCAGGACGACGCCCCTGAGCAGCACCCACCTGAGAGGCCCCCAACATCCATCTTCTTCAGGTTCTTGGCCTCCAGGATGCAGACAGTGAGCTTGCCAGCCGTGGGCACATACCGGAGGGAGATGCAGATGTCTCCAAGCTTCTCTGGCTGCCGAGCAGAACATTGGCAAAAAGGAGGAACTGGGTCAGACCCGGCTCACAGCACTGAGATGGGTCCATCCCGAGTGCCGTGGGGCCATTTTCCATGTCTCAGCTCTCACCTCCTCCTTCTCACCGCTCTGCAGGTCCCGCCACTCCTCAATGGGTTGGCCCAGATCCACCGTGTTCATGGGCACCTTCACCTCACCAATGATGTCGTGCTTGGAGAAGCGATCGAAGTCATAGATGGCCATCACCAATGTCTTCCCACCCAACTCTTGGTAAGGGACCTGCACAGGGAAGAGCCACCAGCTGGCAATGAGCCCCAAGGAGCCTTCAGCACCCAGCGAAGCCCAGCTGTGGGGTCAGGATGAGGCTGGGAGACAGACAAGGTCCTCACCTTGAAGGTGAAGGTCTCGTTGAAGGCAGGGTTTAGTGTCTTCTTCTGCACCTTTGTCTCATACTTCTTCTTCTTGTCAGGGAGCAGGAACACCTTGACGTAGGGGTCTGAGGTGCCACCCATGTCCAAAGCCGGCAGTTCAGCCGCTTGGAGGATCCCCACAGTCAACTGGAGGGGACAGAGTGCCTTCAGCACAACTCCCAGCCCCAGATGGGAGACTTTTCCTCCCCAGATGCACCCCCTGGGTAAATCCCAGCCCTTCCAGCACCTGGTTTGCCTGGAAATCATAATCCAGTGAGAACTGCAGCTTGCCCAAGTTCTCTGGCTCCTTCTCTTCTTCTTCACCTTCCCCCTCTGTCAGTCCTGTCTCTGCATCATCATCGTCCTGGTGGCCAGAGCAGCACCCAGGGAGAGCGGCACAAGGGAAAAGAGTGATGTTATGGACAGCACTGGGGAGGGACCCAGGGCAAGGCAGGGAGCTGGGGGTTTGTATGGCCCCATTGATCCCCTGGGACACAGCATCCCTCAGTAGTTGGGAATCACAAAGGAACCCCCTTGCTGCAGCATACAGGTGGGGATATGCACTGCAGCATCACGCCCCATGCCCTCTGGTCCCATGAAGCCCCTCTTGCCCCGTCCCCTCCTGGCCCCCATAACAGGGAGATGGTCCAGCTCTGCCCTGCACAGCACCATCCACCTGGAGATCCCCAAACCCTGGAGTCACCAAACCAGCAGAGCCTTGGAGCACCCCGAAGGATGTCACCTGGTTGCCCGACTTCATGTCCTTCATGTTCATGGCATTCTTCATGCCTTTGCCCTTCTCCTTCTTGTTCTTCTTCTTCTTGCAGCAGCATTTCTTGCAGATGCAGAAGCAGCAGGTGAGGAGGAGGAGGCCAGCAACCACCGCGATGGCGATGAGGGCCCAGGGCGGCACTGCAGGGACAACAGTTCAGCACCATCTGGCCCCACCACCCCACACCCTGCAGAGATGTGGGGAAGGGGTCCCAGGAGGAGGGGCAGCCACTCACGAGGGATCTTGTTGAGCTCATTCATGAACTTCTCCCTCAGCTTGGCAAACATGTCCTCCTTGCTCTCTCCCGGCCCCGTGGCCTCGGTGGAGTTCTCCATGGTGGCCATGGGCATCGTGGTGGCTGTGGCCTCTGGGGCCATCATGGATGCTTGCTTGAATGTCATGGTGGGACTGGGGAACCCTGCAACACAGCACAGGTCCCTGTGACCCTGAGCAGCCATGTTTCCTGGCCCTTTACACCTTCAGAGCCCCTACAAGCTCTCTGCAACTCCCCCCCCTCCACCCCTTGGAGCTGCACCAGGACATGCCCAGCTCAGGAGCTCCCACTCAGCCCCAAACCCTTCCTCCCCCTCAGAGGTCCCACAGCAGCAGCAGCCCCGCTCTGCTCTCTACGGGATGACTTTCCTCCAAACTGCTGATGAGCACATTTCTGCCCATCTGTTATGGGAACCACAGAAACCATGTCAGAGAGGTGAGGATCCGGGGGCGTGCAGCCCTTCCCTCACTGCACCCATCAGTGCCACCCATCCGTCTGTCTGTCCTTCCTTCTTGCAATGCCACAACCATGGGTTGCAGCGCAGTGCAAGGAAGTGCAGTGAAGTGGGAGGAGGAGGAGGAGGCAGCCTGCACCTGTGTGCACGTGTGTGTGCAATGTCAAGGAGTATGGCTGTGCACAGTGCGGTGTAAATCCTTGTGCAGTGTGCAAGGATGTGCAAGCAGGTCTGCATGCACCGAGGTGCTCGTGTGCACACAGGGCTGTGTGTGTGTTCCTGCACAGGTGTGTGACCTTGTGTGCACATCTGCCCATGGCCATTTTGGGGTGCAAATGTTATGCATGTATGCAGCTCTGCTGGTTGTTCTTGCACATGGGTGTGCATGGCACTCACATCTGTGTGCACATGGCAGCGCTGCAGCCTGTGTATGAGCATGCAAGCCTGTGTGGGAACATGCTCTGCATGTAAGTGCATGTGTACACATGGCTGTTTGCAGGTCATTCTTGCACACGTGTGTGCACACCCTGCTTGGAGGGGTTGGTGCACAGCATTATTTTTTGCACTTCTCTGCTTTGTACCTTCTTGCCTACGTCACTCTTATTTACTTAAGGACAAAGTGGCTGCAGAGGCGCAGGGCCGGAGCTGTGGGGCTCCTTCTGCATCCCAGTACCCTCTAAGCAGGGTCACTAATTAGCAGCACTAATTGCTCCCACCGATGCTGGTGGGAAACTGAGGCACAAGGTGGGGGGGGCTGCCCCACAGCCCCACCGAGGGGGACCCTGCACAGCCCTAAGGATGACATTTTCCATCATTTTTGGTATTGCCTTTTCACACCGTGAGCCCCGGGCATCCCCACATCCCCCCTCTGCCACCACCCCACAGTGTCCCCTCCCCATGCAGTGCAGTGCAGTGCAGGTGCAGCAAAGGCACTGCAATGCAGCGCTGCAGGGCTCAGGTCTGTGTGTTGCTTGTTGTTTTTTTTTTTTCTCTTGCACATTTTTTTCTTTCTGTTTTCTGTCCATTCGAAGGAAAGCTGTTGGGGGGGGGAGCAGCTCCCCTACCCCCCTGCTGCTGTGTCCCCTCTGAATTCCATTCACACCCATCTCCCCTCGCCCTTGGCCCGAGAGCAGATGGGGGTACAGCACCAGCAGCACCGCAGGGCTCTCACCCTCACCCTGCAAACCCCCATGGAGATCCCCCTGGGATTCCTCCATGCCGACACTGGGGAAGTACAGTCCTGCATCCAGCTGCAGTTTGGGCTCAGGGAAATCCCTCCACTGATCCCTTCATCGCTCCCATTCCCATGCAAAGCTTCAACCCACAGAGCCTCCACAAGAAGAAAAGGGGACCGGAGCTTTCCCCGTGCACAGCAGCACCACAGTCCCCACTGCCCTTGGCATGGAGGGGAAGGGATGGGGATATATGGACCAGAAGAGGGCCGTCCCTGTCACAGCTTCCCAGGGCAAAGCAGGGTGCATGGGCAAGAAGTGGGGGCTGCCCGGGACCACAAGGACCAGAACCAGACAGAGGTGTGGGGACATGCGGAAGGGCAGAAAACAGCAGCTAATCATGATTAATGGAGCTGAGGCAGCAATTAGTGGCGGCACGCCTGGATGGCCGGCTGCAGGAGCTGCGATTCGCCGCGCTCAGGTTCACGCGGTGGTTCTGCCTTGTCCCGGGGTGACCCAAAGATGGGGTCCAACCAGACTGCACATCCCACAGAGGGAAACTGAGGCACAGTGCAAACAACGAGGAGTGCTGTGAGGGGGGAAACAGCGTGAGCTGCAGAGGGCTCTGCTGGGGCTCCCAGCACCGATCCCAGCCGAGATGCGGCACAAACCCACGCAGGGAGCGGCTGTGCTGGAGGTGCTGCTTTGAGCAAGGACCTGCTCCTCCATCACAGCCTCTGTGCTATTGAAAGCAGAGCCTGGAGATGCAGAGCAGTTAAATACAGTCTTAAAGGTAGCCTCCATCCATCACTTGGCCACCAGATTAATGGCTCAGGACGTTCCCCAGCCGGAACGCGCTGCTCCCTCTGCCCAGCGCCCGTCAGTGCAGCACACACAGCTGGAACAGCTGAAGGTCGATGGATGCATGGAGCTGGGGGATGAAGATCACAACCCACATCCCCAGCCCACACTGAGCCTGAGGGAAGGGGAGTGCTGTGGGAATGGGATCCACAAAGTACACAGGGGGGTGAAAAACAAGTGGTGAGTGCACAGTTCCAAAGCAGGCAGCTCCAAGCTGTGCGTGGTGCATCTGCCATCCCAGGGCTTTTCTCAGGGTTCCTGCAGGGCTCAGCTGTCCCAGCTGTCCCCTGCCCAGTGGGACACAGTGTGGGCTCCAAACAGCACTCCCTGCAGTGCCATCAGTGAATGCACAGCAGCTGCTTTTCTCCTGCCCTCTTAAAGCATTTGGCTCCTCAGCGCTTTGGAGACTCCACAGAAGGCAGCTCCATGGCTAATTAGCAGGGAAGCAAAGCAGAGCTGGCTCCGAGGCACCTGCAGAGGCCATGGGGCGCTGGGAGCAGCCCTCCTGGTGCAGCAGCACAGACACAGCCCTGTACTGCAGAGTTTTGGCTCATGCGTTGTTGCAGTGCCCTCAGCCCCCACGCAGTGACACCACGGAGAGCTGCGAACCAACACCAACCCTCCCCAAACCAACACCAACCCTCCCCAAACTGCTGACAGGCGCTGCCCATCCCAGCCATGCTGGCTGTGCTAAATAGGGCAACAGAAGGCGCTGGGGCAGAGCCATCCCAAGCAGCCGGCTGCGCACCAGGTTGGCACCACGAAGGCGCAGTGAGGTCGTGTTGGTGCTGCTCTGCCCACGCCGGGACGCTCCGTGCCGTGCCATGGAGCTGCGGCGTCTCCCGATCAATAAGAGGAGAAGGCAGACAATGGCTCCTGGGGCAGAGCCAGGAGCTGAGCCAGGAGCACGGAGTCGAGCCGCATCGATTTTGGTTTGGAGGAAGGAGAGTGATGGCACAGTGCTGGCAGCCCCTGCCCACCTCGCCTGCTCCCAGGATCCGAATCCCCCAGATCTGTCTGGCTGTGCAGATGGATGAAAGCCGCCGGGCAGCCATGCAGCTCCAGGCTCTCTGCAGCCCATGCTGCAGCCCTGCAATGCTCCCAGGGATTTGGGACACACATCACACATCCTGGAGGAGCAGCAGAAGCAAACGAGGTTTTCTGTGGTACGAGGTCTCCTGCCCCAGCCATCTTTGGTCACAGCCCACATCCCCAAAGTGCCACCATGCACTGAACTCAACTCAGATGCTGCCATTTTTCCAACCACCAGAATGGCTCCTGCAGACCCTGCAGTGTCCGCACACCCACCCCATGGCACCAGGGCTGACCACATCCCCCAGCAATGGGACGGCCATGCACCACCTCCAGCTCTCTGTGGGACAGAAATCCCTGAGCACGGCACTGCTCAGTGCACTGCACCTCCTGCACCTCCTGCCAGCAGCAGTCGCTCCCTCCCAGCAATGCACCAGCCCAGAGCCCTGCTCTGCTGCACTCTTTGAAGAGGAGCAGAGGAGCAAGGAACACCTAAAACGATGCCTTTACGCAGAACCCACAAGCTTTCCTTAAGATGTGTGCTGTGCAGAACACCGCAAAGCCAGGAGCCCCTTTTGTGCAGGGCTGTGGATGCAGCACTGCCCGCATTCAGCAGTGCTGGTTTGGTGCAGAGTGCAGGACGGCCACACGAAGGGACACATCACAGCAATTCAACACAGCACAGAGCAACCCCAGCATGGGGGCTGCAGCATGGGCACATCCCATAGAAGCACCCCATAAGGGCAGGGACGGCCCCTGCCCAGACCAGTGGGCAGACCCCATATGGCAGCGATGCCCCAAGCAGCCGGCATCTAGGGGGATCACATCCCATGTTCTGGGGCTGGTCAGGATGGGTGGGTGAGTGCAGGCAGTGGGTGGCACCAGTGCAGGGCATCTTAGATTCCAGCCACACACTGCCTAATTTACGGTTTAATTAATAAATGGGGGAATTATGCTGAGTTGATCCAATACCTCTGGACGTGCGATGTTATCAAAATCCCATTACCAATGAAGGAAGGCATGAAGAGCAAAATTAGCTTTGGCATCTGAAACATTTCAGCCGATGCGATAACACAATTATTAGGGCTAATAATCAAAGAACACTTTGGGGAATATGGGCTCCTGTGGGAGCTGAACCCAGGGTGGGGATGAGGGGGGAGCAGAGGAGCTCCCACCCCAGCGGGCAGAGCCATCTGCAGCCAAGGGCAAAGCACACAGACAGCCTCCACTGCTCAGAGCTCCGGGTGTGGGGACATGCAGAGCACGGCAGGACAGCACTGAGCTCTGCCACTGGGGTTAAGGGGAAAAGAAAACAACACCAGGGTTGGGAAGCAGCGGGCACTCGGTCCCATCTATTTGCTTTGGGTACTGATCTTGCTCGAGGACACCCCACCTCCCTGCGCAGCCAGGAGGAGCAGAAACTCAAGCAATAATTAGGAACCGCAGTCATCTGGCGCCGGGAGCTGGGCCTTTGCCAGCAGCACCGTGAGCAGAGAGCAGCACCCGCTGCCGCCCTGCAGGAGCCCCCTGCGCTTCGGTGCCCCTCCATCAGCATCCCATGGGCTCCAGCAGCAGGGAGCTGCTCCCCCGAGA